TAATTAGTCAGCTCTTTTATGAATATATCGCCGAATACACCATCAATTTTCTCGTAAGATTGGCATCAGTGTGCTAGAAGGTTTTATTCTGGGTACTTTCCGACACCGCCTAATATGGGTGGTAGAGGTGTGATTTTAACACTGAAATCGGTTCGAGAAGTATTCAGGAAAACTGGGAAAAGAAATGAACAGTATAGTACCTAAACAATTAGAAACATTGCGAGAATTTGTCGTAATTGGTGAACAATTATCTAAAATTGCTCTATTTTTTTTTCCTTCCCTGGGGGCTTCAATCATAAATGGGCTTGTTAATTTATTTTTCATTCTCTTCTAAACTATTTAAAATTTGCAATTATCCTAGCTTCCATCTGTTTGCTTGATGGTGAAGATTGTTGTATCTTTCCTTGGAAGGATATTGGTCGATGTTCAAATTTGGATAAGATCCAGGTTTTTGAATCGGGATTAACAAGGCACTCAGACAAGCACATTATAATCTTCCATATCCCCACTTTTATCCCATTTGCCGTTTTACCAAAATAAGCAAACACTATTAAATATCAGTTACTGTGTTTTCCTTCTTTTTTTTTTCTTTTTTTTTTTACTTATTTTCGCCATATAAAGGCTCAAGGACAACTCGAGGTAGATAGTTAATGAAAGCATTTGTTGTGTGACCGATAATAGTAAAAGTTAAGAAGCACAGTTTATGATGATATGTGAAAAATATAACGGTTAACCCTAGACCTGAACAGGTTAATATTATAGTGGTCAGAGAAGCATCCTCTTGGGAGTCGATTCCACAATGAAGTGGTTCGAGAGAAGAAGCTACTCGAGTGGAATTACTCATCACCAATAGAATCCGCTGTGAAGATTAGAACTGGTGGCACTAAGGGAAGCAGCTCGTCTGAACATTTTCCATGGATATAGCGGTAGAATAGCGAGAGGCTCGCAATATTCCGTCTGTGGGAAAGGGGTGGTAAGGTGGAAAATGATTCATCACCTCCAAGGCCGCTTAATACGCTTTTAGACTCTATCAAGACTGGGAAGTGAATACTACATAGCTCATGTCCGAAGTAGTATGAAAACCCATGGTTAACGCTTGAGTTCGAGTGATGGTTTACAAATGCTCTCTTCTCTAAAAATGAATGCCACACTATCTTATTACTATTTTCAATTAGATATCGATAAGGCTAGCTGCCACAATTCATAGTGAAGCAAATCTGTCTATAATGGCTGGAGGGCCACTCAAGGTAGAGGGGTAATATTAATATGGTAATATTGAAATAGGTGTGAGTGATGAATGGAATAGAAAATGGTACATAGAGGATAAAGAAGAGAGAAGAATAACCATTGACTTGAAGAGGTCGAGATTAATGTATTCCTGATAGCAGACATGCAGATGGCTGTTTAAAAAAAAAACAGCAGTTCTTGGGGAAAAGCTGCCTGAATAAACATTTCTCCTCACATAAAAAAAAAAAAAACACAGAGGAAATAGCGATGATCTGACACCGCAGAAGTAATATAACGTTTCGAGAGTAGATATGTTGCTCATCACTGGGGTTTAATTTGAACTCAGTTTGACACAAAATCAAAAGTATAGAACCCTTGATGATAATCAAAATAAATAATATAAATATAAAATCTAGTTTCAAAGGACACGTATGAGAGAGCCATGGAATTTATTAAAATAAAAAATAACTGAGATTGCTCGTTGCCCATTACTCAACTGTTTATTTGTTGAATATTAATATTTCGTAATTTTCCGTTAACCTGGAATGAACTCAAAAATGTGGCCAATAAAAATTGAACCTACGAAAGCAGTAATAATTTCAGATTATTGAAATGTTATGCAAGGTGAGGATGTCTTTGAGATTAGATGACTACATATGGGGATGATTAGAGTGATAGACATGGTGAAGATATCTCTCACATTAGAGTGACAGATATGGTGAGGATATCCCTGAGATTAGGGAGATAGACATAGTGAGGATATCCCTGAGATTAGGGAGATAGACATGGTGATGATATCTCTGAGATTAGTTTGATGAACTTGGTGAGGTTATCTTTTAGATTAGAGTGATAGACCTTGTAAGGATATCTCTTAGATTAGAGTGATAAATATGGTGACGATATCTCTGAGATTAGAGTGATAGATATGGTGATGGTATCTCTGTGATTAGCATTAAAGACATGGTGAGGATATCTCTGAGATTAGTGTGATAGACATGGTGAGGATATCTGAGATTAGATTAATATACATGGTGTGGACTTCTTTGAGATATATTGTGGATATCCCAAGATTAGAGTGATAAAAATTGCCGATAATACCGGTGAGAAATCGCGCTTTGTGAGATTTAAATTCTAGTCTCATAGTCGGAAAAACTAATGTTGTAAACACTCAGCAACGACGAGCTATATATATATATATATATATATATGTATATATATATATATATATATATATATATATATATTGATGCCTTTTTTCATTAAATAATATAGACAAGTGTGGTCTATTTTATGTAAATTCCTTTCATACCGTCTGATGAGCTTAATTATTAAACTTATCAGCCGATATAAAAGAATTTACATAAAATAAATAGACAATTTAATGAAACATTCATCAATGAAAAAATGCTACCTAAATACATACACAATATATATATATATATATATATATATATATATATATATATCCATATTACTCAAAGGCAGACGGAAGGCCACTAGTACGTATAGGGCTACAAAGGAAGAGAGAAGACTGTGTATAGTGGGGAGCAACCAAAGGATAAAATCTGAACGGGGTTCAAGAAGATAAAAGATAGCGACTGACGTTGCATTTACATTTTTTTAATAGTGTAGTCATCAGAGAAAAGGGGGACGGAAAGGAAATGCGTGAAAAGAAAATGTTGGAGTAGAAGTTGCTGTTATATTTTCCTCACTCAACAGTCAAAGTGTAGGACCTAGATGTCAATTTAGTAGCACGCTTAAATTCATCTAGCCGGGCCATTAAGAAAAAAAGGTCTTCAGAGCAGTAATCATGAAAATATTTATAGAAAAGACAGGTGGAAGCCACGTCAAGTCGTTGAGAAAATGTCTGAAGTCAAGATGCCAAGCCAGGTTTGATTACACTGCACATCCTTCTTTGGATTTTTTTCAAGAACATCGAGATGAATAGCTGGAGCAACTGATCAGATATGGCAGCAGTATGCAATGCACATAAGAATGGTAGATTTGTAAATGTGCAACATGGAATCTACCAAGTAAAACCTTCTGGCACGACATTGTGATCTAACTTTCCTTGCCGTAGATGCAGCTATTGGATCGATGTCAATTCAGTTGAGAACATGAGGCTAAGCAGGCGCAGTGGTCTGCTCTCCATGAGTCTAACATCAGTCATGCTGTACTTTCCAAGTTAACCATTGATTAGAGGTCCTTTTCAAAAGCAGCTGTCGGGTTAACGTTGTCAACTCTGACGGATTTGTTAATGAGAATCCAGTAAATGACAGTGTCATTAGCATAAATGCTTACTTGGGCACTGATGACATCATGAATATCATTGATGAAGATCAGAAAAAGCGTAGGACCCAGGATAGAGCCTTGCTGCCATCGGCGTTTGTGTGAAAGGATCTGGAAGCGAACCCGTTTAAAACAACATTCATTTCACTATTTAATAGAAAAGATTGGTTTAGATCAAACACACGTCCAGTAATATCTTAACCCTGGAGCTTACGTAGAAGACCAGCATGCCAAACCCCATCAAGCGCCTTTGCCATATCTGGAACCAGAGAACGAACTTGGCCGTTATTAACAAGAGCTTCATATACATATTCAGTGATGGCCGTTAGCACATCAGCGGTAGATCTGGCAAAACAGAAGCCATATTGTTTGTCAGAAATAGGTCGTGAGAGTTAAGACGGTTAACCACGTCAGCATTGATTAAAGCCTCTAATATTTTACCGAATTGCGGTAGGAGACTAATAGTGCAGTAGTTAGAGGGATCAGAAGGTTCTCCAGACTTCTTGAAAACAGGAACTACAGATGAGGAATTTTAGCAAGCAGGGAATACAGAGGCAGTAAGGCAATAGTCGTAGAGTTGGAACGGAACTGGGGCCAGCTCAGGAACACATTTCTTTAGGACGACGGCTGGGATTCCTTTACCTCCATTTGACTTATGGGGGTATAATTTAGAAATTATGTCTGAGACCTGTGACGGGATTATGTACAGAGCCTCTGTTTTGGGAAGGAAATCAGGTGTGGCAACTTCATTTGAGTCGAGTGTTGAGTTAGAAGTGAATTTCCGAGCTTATCATTCAACCTTGTTTGCTGTAGATGTCAGGGACTTTAAATTGATTGAATAGAGGAGGGATTGAGTATTTGCTATTGTTCAGCACACACTTGCAGAGCCGCCAATATCTGACCTCAATATCTATCTATAGAACTGAACTTGCGAAATGCTATACGCTGTTTCATTTTATCAGCAAACAGTAACTTCGCTTCTTTGGGGACATACTTGCACTCTTTACGTGCAGAGACAAAGATACTACTGTTGTAATCAGAGGTGTCGCTCTGGTACAGCCGGAAAAAATGAATCTTGTAGGCTATAGCGTGATGCCGGTGAGAACCAAGGAGATGAATGCAGTTTAATCTTTTATTTCCTCGCTTGGATGAAAGAATCGATGACGGCTTTCACCCTAATCCAGCCTTTCCTATCAAATCGTGTAATGAGAGATTATCCTGAACAGCGACGTCTCGATCCTTTCGTACTAATGCATGTGTACCTCCAGAGCTTCATCCTTGGACCTAATCTATTTTTAATTTTCATTAATGAACTCCCTGATCACATCAGTTCTCAACCTCGTGTCTACGCTGACAGCACAACAATTTACGTTTGCCTCGTTAGTAAGACTTATCAGTTCAAAAAGCTAGTCGATCTCCAAAACGACATCAAGGCCGTAGTTGACTGGAGCAAAAGATGGCTTGACTCTTTTTTTCATGCTTAAATGCAATCGTTAGGCTCGATATCCGGTTTTATTCTGGGTTCTGACCCCAATATCTATCTATCTATCTATCTATCTATCTATCTATCTATCTATCTATTTCAGTCTGTTTTTATATAAGTCTGTTCTCATCAAGCTATGTCACTTCTTCTCTATCTATCTGCCTCAGTCTGTTCTTATCTATCTATCTATCTATCTATCTATCTATCTATCTATCTATCTACCTATCTATCTATCTCAGTCTGTTCATATCTATGTATCTATCTATGTCTGTTTCTATCTATCTATCTATCTATCTATCTATCTATCTATCTATCTATCTCATTTCTAATCCGTGTCAATCAATTCGTATCTATCTCACTCTGTTCATATCTATCTCCCTATATATATATCTATGTCTGTTGAGATCTATCTATCTCATTCTATGTTTCTGTTGAGATCTATCTATCTCATTTCTAATCCGTGTCTATCAATTCGTATCTATATATCTCACTCTGTTCATATCTATCTATATATCTATCTATGTCTGTTGAGATCTATCTATCCAATTCTATCTATGTTTCTGTTAATATCTATCTATCTATCTATCTATCTATCTATCTATCTATCTATGTCACTTCCTATCTGTCTAGCCAATGTCCTTTCTTTGGACTCGTTTTTCGTTTTTCCTCGAGTGTAACACAATGAGACATTAAATCATTTTGACATCACAAACAGAAACACTACGCAGATATGACGCAAGTAAACAGACTACCTTATTTTGTTCTGATTTTACATTTAATAAAGATACATGTCAATTCCTTCATTTGCTTTGAATATTCCAAAGATGTAACTGAATAATTCTTCATTATTTGCTCGGCAGTCAAAAAGCGTCAGTTTAATGTGAATAGAGAATGACCTGGCGGTAGACAACATCAGAATTGAAAATTCCTTTTCTAATTATGAACAGGTTAATTATGCACCTCCCTAGAAAACACCGCCTCTCGATTTAATTTGGCCTGGGTTGAAAGAAATATGTTTCCATATAACCTGAATCGGAAATTCAAGAAACAATCTGAATTAGACGGTAGTAGGTATTTACATTATTTACAATCGACCCCGATGGACGAAATAAGGGGTTCAGTTCAAAATTACAATCACCTGTAAAAGACCGAAGAGTACAACGGCCGAAACGTCGTGATTACGGAAATAAAGATGGTGGCAACGAACAATGTAAATAATTACAATACCTCATTTCAGAAATATAGACAAAAAAGGTAGTAAGTTTTGAAAAAATCGACACAAAGGCAGAAATTGGGTAGAGTTTGGGTTTAACTATTGAAAAAGTTGATATAAACAGATTTTCTCTTAAACTAAGGAAAAAAAGGTTTCTTAATGAGCTAACTGCAAATTAAATTACTTTCAGTAACAGTTATAAAGAAATGTTCTTTGTAAACTTCTCAGATTAGAACTAAACATGTATTTGCACTATTTACACTGCTAGGACTGTTGTTATCATCTTTATTGTCATATTCACGACATTTCGGCTGTTGTACGCTCCGGTCTTCTTCAGGTGATATACGTTAGAATTTTGAACCGAACCATTGGCGCAGTGGGCAAAAAGCTTTGGTTTAAGTAATCCAGTGACCCCTAGAGTTGTGAGTTTAATAACTGGGAACAGGAACACCTCGAGTTGGTGTAATGGTTAACGAGCTTTTCTCGCTAGAATATTTACGACTGATTAGTGAGTTAGATTCTCACTGGGTGCCGCCTACTTTCGGCCTTGTCTCACATTTGAACTACGCTTGAAAATCATTAATATCTGGCAACGGCAGAGGTAAACAAAAACTTGGAGAATCGTGTTACTAAAGTTTACCAAACGGAATCAACTTAAACTGAGAAAAGGGAAGGAACGTGAATCTAGAACTCCTTCAGTGGTCGAAATAAAGGGTTCGGTTCGAAATTCCAGTGTATATTACCTGACGAAGACTGGAGCGTACAATGGCCGAAACGCCAGGAATATGACAAGATGAGATCAATAGACCAAACAATGTAAATAGTGTAAATAATTACTATATCTCATCTCAGAAATATATATGTATTCTTTATAGTGTATCCTTATTTATTTATATATCTATCTAGGAGTGAGGCCTGCTCCATGAGACAAATCGGTAGCAAGTTTAGAACGAACGGTTAGAATGAAAACTGGTTTTAAGGGTGACGCGGCGTCAGTCGGCTATTTAGTGATGATCGTCAGTGAGGCAGTCAGAGAGCGTAGCAGTTAAGATGTAGAGACAGTTATTCGACCAAATACAGCCTATATAGCAGAAAGAATGACAGTGAATCAAATATAATCGAAAACTCCAACAAGAATATCAGTAGACTAAATACAGCGCCAAACAGCAAAGAAAAAAAACAAAACAAAAAACAAATGTGATGATTAGTTAATTAAATATAGACTAAAAGTAACAATTAAATCCAATTAAACACATATTTGAGATGGCCATAAACATTCTGAAGATCAAATATAAGCTCAAAAAAGAATATGGGTTAAATTGCGACCCTCAACGTGAGTAAATACAATAATCAAATTCAATATAAGAGAAGGAAGAAAGAAATGGTGAAAGAGATAAAAAGAGAAAACGAAAGAAAGAAAGAAAGGAAAAGATAGACAAAAAAAAGAGACTGGAGAAGAAAGAGAGTGGGAGAAAAAGAAAGAAAGAGTGAAAGCGAAAGTGAACAAAAGAATACGAGAAAGAAAAAAAAGAGAAAAAGAAAAATGAGAGAGAACTGGTGAAAATAAATGAAAATACACAGAAAAATAATATGGCTTTAACTGAACGATTTTTTTTTATTATTAATCCGTTTGAAGTCGTATTTTTAAATTGTTTAAGGCACTTCCTCGATACACGAGAAGATTAAAAGTGAGAGAGAAAAACGCGAGCAATTAAACTGATTTATAAAAGAGATGGAGAAAAGAAAACTGGATCAAATTCAAACAGAACACGATAAACATTAATTACTGTAAAAATAAAACAAGAGCAAAAACTAAAAAAAAAAAAAGAAAGAAAAGAAAAAAAAATGATTTTTCAGAACAGCGTCCTTAAAGAACTAACTTCCCACTGCTTTCCATTTACAAAGCGAACCACTTTATTTTTCAGGTCGTATTTCGAAGCAGACAAGAATCCAGAATTAAGACAGCTGCTTTCATCCAGCAAGTCCATCACGTGACTGGTTATAGAGCATGAAGGTTTCACAGGCACCATTTACTTCCGGTAAGCGGATCACATCTCGTAAGAAATATGCCAAATGTTAAAACCGGTGAATACCTCATCATATGCCATATGAAAACGGACATCCGGTGAAAGATATATGTCTACAAGTTTCATGTTCACTGTCCAATCTGCGTGGAATGTCTGTGATAAACATGAAAGAAAGCTGAAGGCGAAGATTGATGAGTGGTGAAAGAAAAGAGCGAGAAATTAATGCTCTTTCTGTTCAGAAAGCTTATCTTTGTCCAATTTAAACCCCAAAATAAAAAATTACCTTGTGAGGAATGAACTAACGACAAATCGTTCGAAAGTATAGAATGCCAGACATTAATCTACTATCGTGAGCCTTGTTTGACACAAGGATATCTGGGGAAATTATTGAGAATGGAGTTTCTTATGATGTTGGGGTTTTCTGGAAATAGCTTTCGAATTGTAATGTTAACTTTTTTTTCTCTTTCCTAATTAATATACACTGTACTTGGCCATTTATGTGACTCTTAACACCTAGAGAGTGACTCTCTGGTTTTGGTGTAGGCGTCGTGAAAAGATTCTCCACGGACAAGTGCGAAAAAAACACCTGTTTGCAACATAACGTGCTGTATTTTAATATTTGCTACCTTTGCTTTTCAGAGTCAGTGAGAAGGCACGTGAAACGTTTAGACACTCTGTTAGCATGTTCTGATTTTGATAAAATCAAATCTTTATTTATGTTATGCCTTTTATTTTTAGCATAGCATACCTATGGACGATAATGGGTGTACTCCCATTCCCATAAATACAGTATTGAATACTGTACGTGGTTAGAGTTGGAGATTCGTCTCTAGCTGTGCTGGTCAAACTCCCGGCTTCCGGATAGAGAGGATCCCCAGACGAGGCTATGTCGAAGGGCAGAGTCTCGTCTCGGAAAACAGCTACTCGACTCGATGTGTAGAGTCACGGGAAAAACCAACTCGACCTCATTTTACACGGGGTATACAGGGAATTTTTAATAGAGACTACGACTCAGATACCTCGCATTAAATTTGGCCTTGTGCCATATCTGACCGCGTCTCTGAAAACAGCTACTCGACTCCGTTTTATACGGGGTCAACGGGCAATTTTTGGCAAAGCCTAAGGGCTCGGATACACCACATTAAATTCGTCCTTATGCCACATCAGACCGCATGGGGCGATTGTTAGATATCCTAGAGTTGGAGATTCATCTCCAGTTGGGCTGGTCAAACTCTTTGTCTCCTGGCACAGAGGACCCTACAGATAAGGCTATTTCGAAGGGCAGAGTCTCGTCTCGGGAAACAGCTACTCGACCCCGTTTTATTCGGAGTCTACGGGGAATTTTTGGCCGAGGCTACGACTCGTATACACCACATTAAATTTGGCCTTGTACCACATCTGAGCGCGTGGGGCGGTTGGTAGATATCCTGGAGTTGGAGATTCGTCTCCAGCTGTGCTGGTCAAACTCTCTGCCTCCGAGCAGAGAGGATCCACAGACGAGACTATATCGATGTGTAGAGTCTCGTCACGGGAAACACCAACTCGACACCATTTTACACGGTGTCTACGGGGAATTTTTGGTAGATACCCTGCATTAAATTCGACCTTGTGACACATCTGACCGCGTGGGGCGGTTGTTAGATATCCTGCAGTTGGAGATTTTTTGTGGAATTCACTTGACTCACTTCTAGCAGTTGACTACTTCTTCCACGCGCCGCTGGCGAATCTTATGTGTTGTTCTTGTCCTAAGTATTATCGTTCATTACCAAACTTTCGTGTGATTATTTTATTCAGTAACTTTCCCTAAGTTACAACATTTTTTAAATTAAATTAATGTTCGGGCAAACATCTGTACTTGTGACATGTAACTATTAAGGTCACCAACATGTATTTGGGTAACCAATAAGAACTATCGATTAATGACAAGTGCCATTCTCTTATTTAATAAGTGTAGTCTTGCCAGGCACCTAGCCCCAATAATGAGTCATAAATTGATGGCTAATTTTATGACATGTGTCATGACTTTTCTAGAGGGACATTGGGATATCTATTGTTATAACAACATATATGTTCATTAAAATGAGCGGAAAAAGCACAGAAAAGAGAGAAAACTTCCACCAACAGCAACTCGAAAAAGGACGAAAAAAACTTGGGTAAGGGAAAAAAGAAACTACAAGAAAAGGTTCATTGTTTCTCCCTCTTCAGCGCTCAATCGAGAAAAAAAAACAGCCGCGCATGCTGCCGGTCTCTGTCTCATTAATGATGATGTGAAAAATGGAACTAGGCAAATGTTAGTATTAAACTATTGAGTTACAAAATTCGACGAATGCTTCTGACTTGCTATAAATTGAGCCTCAGCAAAATTCACCAGTTATTATTCAACAAATACTACTAATATCATTGTAACTCGTATATAAGTTTCAGCGTTATCGATGCTTGAAAATCGTCTTATACCGCTACAGTCGAAGTGTTCTTCACACCTCCGGCACGACACTCAGATTATTATTCTTAAGTACAAGTTCACAAATGTCTACTAAAGAAAGACTCATTACACTTATTGTTATTCTAGTATGATAAAATTTTCTCAACTGTAGACACATCGATGTTTACAAAAACTTACAAATTCAAAAAGCGGAGTACTGCTCTCTTTTACCGGTTACAAGAATGTATTTGTAAGCACTGCATTCATGATATTTACACAGATACACGAGAAATAGGCTCGATACCTTGTAAAGCTCAAGCAAGTACCTAACTCCGCCTGTCGAGTTTATATTTACAAGGGTCAGATCAGACTAAGAAACGGAGTATCGCTGCCATATGTGGGGACCAATCGTTTCTTTCTAGCCTTGAGTTCAAAAGCATTTTCTTGACCTTGTTGGTGATAATGCACCAGTTTTCCACCCTACAACTCTGTCAGGCAACAAAAATAAAAATGGCAATGAAAATAATGGCGACAAGAATGAAAACAAAAATAATGGAGGTGTTAAAAAATGTATCGAATTAATAATTATTGAAAACTGACGATAAGAATACTGATAAAGACGGAAAGGAATCACGTGATTAAAACAGTGATTATGATTGGATGAATGGAATTTCCGTTAAACGAAGGAAAATGTAAGGAAAATTAGTTTGAATGGTGAGAGAGATAAACCAGAATTTAAATTGTATTTATAAAATTCCGTCGCTATATTCATTGCAGATGTTCAGTCAAGCTATATTCTTTGTTTGCGCCATTTCACACCTTCTGAGTCGAGGCATCCTCATTCGTGCAATGATGCTTTCCCGAGCACTTAAGTTCTTCAAGTCGATGGTCAATCGTTATCTATGCTACGTATTTTCATAATATGCACATTTAACCTCCTTCTTGTACGCCATTGCAACAACACCCGTGCTCTTGGGTGAATACTAGAATATAAGAATAAACCTAGCAACGCTTAAAATAATAATATAGATGGTAATTGTTATCATAGTATGTTAAATTTGAGATGCCTTGGTGCCACTTGACACCTAATGATATTATTTCTAAAATAAATGGTGTGAGCATGCAAATAATATTATCGAAGAGAAAGATCGGAAGATAAGAGTGATAACGATGATGGTGATGGAGAGAGGGAGGAAAATGAAATGCAAATAATTATATTAATAATTATGTTAATACAGGTAAGAGTTAAAACCACGGGGATAACATCACAATTTACCTTTAATTACGAAAGAACAAACAACGAGCGAAATTATGGCGACAAGAACGAAAAAAATAAATAATTGAGGTGTTAAAAAATGTCTCGAATTAATAATTATTGAAAACTGACGATAAGAATACTGATAAAGACGGAAAGGAATCACGTGATCAAAACAGTGATTATGATTGGATGAATGGAATTTCCGTTAAACGAAGGAAAATGTAAGGAAAATTACTTTGAATGGAGGGAGAGATAAACCAGAATTAAATTGTATTTATAAAATTTCTACTATTGTTAAAAATGATGTGCAGTTTCGTTCACTATTTCTCCAAATCAAATAAGTGATAAAAAAAAAACAAAAAAATTTAAATGAATTTACGAAAATGATGAATCAGAAGAAGGAAAAGAAGACATCCCGGGAAGGAGGAAACAATGAATAAATCGAAGATTCCATTTGACGATAGTGAAAAATACATAAATTTTTGTCCTAAATGCATCAAAAATTAATTTTAACAAATTAATTAAATATATTATAAACCTTGGGGAGGATGCGAAAATGCCATATAAGAACGCTAATACATTCGGAAAGAAAGACAGAAAGAAAGAAAGAAAGAAAAAACAGAGAGAATGAATGAGATAAAAGGAGTGGAACGGAGAAAAAAAGAAAGAAAGAAAGAGCGAGAGGCAATTGGAAAAGAAAGAACGAAAGAAAGAAAAAAAAAACAAGGAAAGGATGCAAAGAAGACGACAAAGAAAGAAAGAAAGAAAGAAAGAGAATGAAAGAAAGAGAGGGAATGGAAAAATTTCGAAAAAGAAAGTAAAATAAAAGAAAAAGAGATAATGAAAGAGCAAGAAAGAAGAAAAGAAAGAAAAAGAGAGAATAAAAAAGAAAGAAATAAGGAATTAGAGGGAATGGAAAAGGAAGGAACGAAAGAAAGAAGCCAAGAAAGAAAAAGAACAAAGAATGAAGGGAAGAAAGAAAAATGGAGATAAAGAAAAACGTGAAGGAATGGGAAATGTTTCAAAAACAATATTAGAAAGAAAGAAAAAAGAAATAAGAAAATAGCTAGAAAGGGAAGGATGAAAATAAGAAAAAAGAAAGAAAGAAAGAAAGAAAGGAAAAAGGAGAGAAAGAAAAAGCTAGAGGGTGCGGAAAAAGTTAGAAAAAGAAATAAAGACAGACAGAAATAAATAGAGAAAAAAGAGAGAAAAAAAAGAAAGAAAAACAAGAAACAGTGTAAGAAGGAAAGAATACTGGGCTGTTAGCAAGGTAACCGATGCAGAATATTTGAAGGCTTCTAGAAGAGGTAACCAACAGTAGAGAAAGCGCTCTTGCAAGGAAAATACCGAGGCTAGGATGAATAAGAATAAGAAAAATTTCAAAGGAGGAAAACCTGATAATAAATGAACTTCTATAGAAAGGAAAAGTTTTCTTTCAATTTTTATTTAAAAAATATCGAAAAAAAGGAATACTTTACAATGGGAAAAGCGTAGGAGAGAAGCCCCTGAAGACATTGAAAGTATAAAACAGTCGTTGAAGGAGCACATACATACATATATATATATATATATATATATATATATATATATATATATATATTTGTGCGATGGATTTCAGTGAGAACTGGTTTTCTGACTTGGCCAGTTCGCACTCACTTTTCCATCTTAAGGTGTTGGAGTCGCTTTACATCAGGTCCAAGCAACCTGCTCTTTGCAAACAAAGAGATTGTTTGCTTGACTTGTTGTTCTGCGCTTCTAGCAGCTTGGTTGGTATAATTTTATTTTTTTTTTATTTCCCTGTCCATTCATTCATGTCACCCATGACAGACTTTTTTGTTTTCCTCATAATCTAAATTCCCCGTTAACAGTTCTGACGAGAGGGGACGAAACCGGTCGACTGGTGTGTGTTTTATTTTAAACTTATCATGGCCTACAATACAACATTTCTAGTTTTAATGCCTTAATACGCTTTTTGTACGTTTCAAACCTATTTAAATATATATATATATATATATATATATATATATATATATATATATATATATATATATATATTCACGGGTAGTAATCCGTTGGTATAATCCAAGCGAGTCCTATTAACACAATATAGACTGAATCACAATGCGTGCTCCATGCTTATTTTCATTAAACAGAGCAAATAACTTACTCCATATTTTGTTCTCTTTTTTCCCCAGCTAACCATTCCTCTTCAAAAAATGACACCATAAACAGTTAAAAGAAATCTTGTGAATTTCAAACTTTAAATTTGCGAGTGTAAATGATCATTCACTAATGGTATCTTAATTCCAATTATATATATATATATATATATATATATATATATATATATATATATATAAATATAAAAATATGTGGTACAGTTCAATTTATATTACAAATGAATCATTCATACAAAAAAGTAAATTAGTAAAGTTAATGATATAAAATAAAAGATATTTTCGCTAAACAAAATTTTAAACATGCATTAGCCTACAAATAACTCGATGAATGTTATGATCCTTGTTTTTAAAAAATTATAAGTTGTATAAGGTCTTTCTTTAATACACAAGTACTTTCGACTGTACATTCAGTCCTCTTCAGGCATGGAAATTATTTTGTTTTTGGTAAAATTCATCGGTAAAATTTTGTTAGAAAAGAGATTTCGCCATTTTATATCATTAACTTTACTAATTTACTTTTTGTATGTATGATTCATTGTAATATATATATATATATATATATATATATATATATATATATATATATATATTGTGTGTGTATTTAAAAGCATTTTTTTTCATTAATGCATGTCTCATTAAATAATATAGGCAAGTTTTGTCAATTTATTTTAAGTAAATTCCTTTCATATCGTCTGATAAGCTTAATAACATTATCATTGAAAGACTAAAGAAAATTACCATCTTGATACATATTTTTAAATTCTATCTAAACTTTCGGCTTACATAAGCCATCATCAGAGAATGAATTAAACAATACACGGACATAACAACAATAATAGTCTGTTTTGTTTGCATAGAAAATTTCCAAGCAACGACATACTCGTGCATACGAGCCGCTGGAAGCGAAAATCACACCGCGGCCCATGACATCCCACATGACCACGCAAGAGTGAAAAGAAATATATATATATATATATATATATATATATATAATGAAAGAATAGTCTAATCATAGGGAATGGAAGAGGAGATACAAACAGGACACTCTTGAGAAATAGTAAAGAATAAAAGGATGTGGTGAGGAAGAGATAAAGAAAAGTTTCCAAGCAAGAAAAGGTAATGAATGTATAAAGGAAAAAGACATTAAAGACGAAGTGAAGAAAAAGAACTCAGGAGAAAAAAACAAAAGATTTAAAAGACTCTGATGAAAGGGAATTAAAATCGTAGGAGAAAGAAGTGTAAAGGGGATAAAAACTTAAAAGCAAGAATGGATGAAAAAAAAAGAGAGTTGATTAAAAAAAAACAACAACAACAGATGATTGTGAATCGGTAGAAAATAGCTGAGAACAAAGAAACATTCTTTGAGTTTAGAAATAACTAAGATCGAAAATATTTAAAAGATGAAGTGGATTAATGGAGGCGGAGGTCTAAGAAGAAGAAATATAAGGAGATGGAGGAGTATGAAGGAAGAGGAGGCGAAAGACAAGTAGGAGAAAGAGGAGGCGGAAAAGTTAGAAAAAGAAATAAATAAAGACAGAACTAAAGAGAGAAAAATAAAAAAAAGAGAGAAAAAAAAGAAAGAAAACAAAGAAGAGCAAGAAACAGTGTAAGAAGGAAAGAATACTGGGCTGTTAGCAAGGTAACCGATGCAGAATATTTGAAGGTTTCTAGAAGAGGTAACCGAAAGTAGAGAAAGCGCTCTTGCAAGGAAAATTCCGAGGCTAGGATGAATAAGAATAAGAAAACTTTCAAAGGAGGAAAACCTGATAATAAATGAACTTATATAGAAAGGAAAAATTTTCTTTCAATTTTTATTTAAAAAATATCGAAAAAAGGAATACTTTACAATGGGAAAAGCGTGGGAGAAAAGCCCCTGAAGACAAAGAACTGTATAAGGAGGAAGAAGTGAATGAAGAGGAAGCGGTAAAAACGGAAGAGGAACAGTAGTAGGAGGTTCGATTGGAGGTTTAAGAAGAAATAGAAAAAGGAGGAGACCGAAGAAGAAGGGAGAGGAGGCGGAAGTGAAGCGGGACGAGGAAAGAAGAGTAGGAGGAAGAGAAGCAGGAGGAGGCGGAGAAGGAGGGAGAAGGAAAAATACAAGAGGTGATAAAACCAACAACAGATAATTGTGAAGCGGAGTTGAAGATAACTGAGAATAAAGAAAAACGCTTTGTGTTTAAAAAAGAACGACAT